CTCGACCCTGCAATACGGAAACAGGATCGGTCCCTTCAGCCTAGAGCCATCAATCTGAATTTGCAAAGTTTACAAAGGTATCGCGTAGGGGATTTTTCGATCAGCGCGCCTTCAGATCAAATCTCTACTCTATTGGAAAGGTCATAACCTGCACCTCCAAATGAAACAGAAAAGTCTATTAAGCGTTATTATATTTCAACAGAGATGATGATAAACTCCTTTGGACTTGGACTTATTTCCAAACAGTGGCTTACATTAAAAAAATGTAGTGAGAAAACCGTGTTCCAGGATAAAATCCCAAGTGGGCTTAAGAGCTGGAGTCAGTCGCTTAGTTGTATATTGCTTTGAGGGAACTTCATGTAGCTGTCACTGCCAGAAGAGCCTGCCCTTAACAATCCCATACCGAGAATATCCCCGATTAGCTTCGCAGTCTAACTGACCTCTCCTCATAAGGCAGAATACTGGCACCCTGGCAGCAAACCAGCTTTATCTGCTGTCTAAGTGGTTTTCGCTAAGTCTGCCCAAACACGAAATGTGTGTCCAGAGAGTCAGGGCCAATTTGAACCGGGCCGTGAGGCCGCCGGTTAGTGCAAAACAGGCTAAAGGTCTGAAGTTACAATTTGGCTCTGCCGTCGTTACGCTTGAGGGTGAGAGAGCTTCCTACTGCTGGGTTTGGGAAAGGACCTGGCACAGTATCGGATCATCTCCAGCTTTCAGAACAAAGCACGCAATTCAATGAAATCTCCTCTAAAAGGCAGCTGTCGACAGAACAGGAAAGCTGTTCTTCCATCTCGGTCGCCTTTGGCTTTAAGTATTACAACCTCTCATTTAGTTTATTGAGAAGATGACGGCCAAGCACTAGTAACTTTCCTCTTTAGGTCCTTCAACTCTTACCTGAATGAGAGTCTGCCTTTCTGCCTTGGGGAGATTTACGGCTTGGTGTTCTGCTTCCTCCCATTCCTTTTTCACCTGGACAAGAAAAGGACAGAACCCATCAACACGACACAAATTCACATCCGATCTCTGCGAGTTAATTTGCTCACAGGCAGATCCTTGTACGGCCTGGCTAGGTTCTGAAGGCACAACAGAGCTGCTGCGGGGTTTAAACCCAGCGCTTAAGCCATCTGAGCGGCACGCCAAGCATCCCCAGTGATTCCTCTCTCCCAGCACTCTCAAGAAATAAAAATCTAACTGCCACAGCATGGTCATATTGCAAGAAACACACGGAAGGCTGGCGACCGGAAAGGAAATCAGTTCACCATCAATCTGTCCAGAAAACCAGGAGCGGCAACTATGCAGTGCAGCACAAAAGACTAAAGCTAGACGCTCACCCGGTCCATGCGGTTGTGGTGTCTGACCTCCAACTGCTCCTTCGCCTTCTGGAAGCGGGCATGTTCGTTGTCATCAGCTGGGGTTTCAAAGTAGACATCCACATCGTCAGTTGGCACTGCAAAGAGAAGATAAGGATAAGCCGAGGTTCGGAAACCTGTGATCCTGGATTGCAAAGGACAGGTAGGGAGAGGAATCTCCACGTCTGCATAATTAACAATCTGGCAGGCTGAGTTTACTGAACCGCCACCTACCAGGAGTCCATTTTGGTATCGTTATGCTGCCAATTTACTGCACAACATCAGTGAGTTACATCATCCCAAAAACATGTAATGCACTGCGGCAACCAGCACCTGTTCGGTCTTCTCACTAGTTCTGAGATGAGCATTATTCAGCTCGAGCAACAGAACGACTTGGATTGCAGAACAAAGACCTTGTTTTCTCTTCCCTTTCACATTGGCTTTGGATAGTTTAAATGACGCTTTGCGCATTAGCTGTTCGCTGACAAGCTGGCTCCAGACATCATTAATATGATTAGGGAGCTCGACAATAAATCTGCACAAAACACTACCCAATATTTTACACTTCAAACCTACCTTCCCTACCAGATGCACCATGCAGGACTAACAGGCAATGATATTAGACAGGACAGCAACAGAAGGAGGCTCAATGTGACAAATTGCCTGGTCCGATAAACTGGACGGTTCGTATCTTTAGGACGCTCAAATTTGACAAGGGGAGAAATAAAATTTCAGAACTGACAATTTCAACTCTTCAAAAATCCACAACAGGGGCTGTGTACTCCAGACGCTGCCGTTCAGGAAACGCTGAACCACATTTCTGTGCTACGGTTTTCAAAACTACACATCCCAGAGCCCCTTCTGAAAGGATTTACAGCAAACACGATGCGCTCCGTTGCTGCCCTTCAGCAGAGGAAGGGCAGAAAGGGAAAGTTAAGGCAACCTTTCAACCAGATTAGTTATTTGGGTGGAAAAAAAACCTTCAACAATTCACTGAAAGACTGCACGCTTCAGAAAAAAATTTACCTGGCACTTCAGCATGAACACAGGGTGTAGGAATTTAGCATGCACCTAAATCCGCCAACCTTTACTCTAACGAGGGAAGGAGGAGTAAAGAGGGGGAAAGGATTACTGCACGAAATCATGGCAACATACAACATAGGCATCATCGTTGCGTGCAAGGGACGTCGGACCAGTACTGTATTCTGGGCCTGCTGGTGGCATTTCTGAACCAAGGCTGGACACAGAGAACTCTCTGCCCAGCCCCAAATCCCTCTGTAACAGGACAAACTTTTGTACAAAAAGCTCCTGACATCCGCATCTTTTATTTCACCACTTCAGTTAGATCAGCCCAATCTAAAGCACTTGCATGAAGCCCATTTTGTAAATAGGATTATGGCTGTATAGTCAGACTGCCAAGCCCCAGATAACACAAAAAGCCTTTCAAAAGGCTTTAATGGTAGCTGAAGTGGAAGTGCTGGAGTTCAACAATAAGATTAATAAGGAGGTTAAAATGTTTTTGGTAGTTTTATCATCTGACATAAAAGCCAGTTGAAATTGGTGCCAAAAACCTCAAGCTCTCAAAAATGCAGGAATTGAGTCATGATTCATATTTCAAACCGAGCTGAAACTGGGAATCGGAATTCGATGTTACTTCTCTGATATTTTCCCAAAATACAATAGCGAGAAAACGCCTGCTACCAGGAAAATGGCGAGTAGCAGCCTGCTTTTCAGGACCGACTGGTCAAACGCACGCACGGTAACACGACTGGGGAAAGCAAATGCTTCGTTCCACGTATTTGGAAAAAAAAAAACGCCAGTTACGCAAACAGGCAAGCTATGTGTTTTCACAAGAGGTCAGAGACAGCCCCTGGTCCCTGCTGTAGATCTGGAAGAGGACAACTAAGCCCTTAGCAAGAGCTGCAAGCCAACGGTGAGCATAGACAGCATACGTCGAGAGCCGCTTTCCCCAGCAAAGTTCACCCTAAAGACCTAGAGAAGCGGAGACAAGAGGAGACTGCTGCAAAAGGACAGACAGAACCGTTGCAAGACACCAGAACCAAAAGGATAAGCTACACACGTATCCTCTCTCGACCGAGGCGAGGAGGAGACGACACCAAACGCCAGACAGACAGAGGCTAGCGGCAAAAGGGCCAGTGGGAGGCAGGACTTACTCATCTTTTTACACACAGCCATACAATACTCCTCTGACTCAAAATTGTTCCTGTTGCCTCCGCAGCCTCCATATATAAAGCGAACGCATTTTCTCTTGTTAGGGTCGAAGTACCAACGAGGCATCACAGCCCGGCAGGGCCCTGTCATCGCCTCCTGGGAGCAGACAGCTGTGTGGAGACGGGTTAGAACATGAGCTAGTGAGGAGGAGCACAGGCCTCGACGAGCGACTTACACAACGCAGCGGTGGCTTTAGTTCTCACACCTTCTTCTAGGGCACCAGCGCTGGCCTCAGCATCGTTACTTCACCGACCAAAGGGCTTTTGTCAGTTTTGGGGGGGATTTTTAACATTGCAAAAGCATCCATCGCAAGGCTTGCCAACGCTATTCAGGGGAACGCCTGCAAGTGGTGCTTCGGAGCGAAAGCGCAGCAGTGGGCTACTCGAGCAGTAGTCTCGACATAGAGCAAGACTGATTTCTCCTTAGCTAGAGGCCGAAACAACAAGGATCTCTTTTGCTGATGCCACAACGTTATGCCTCTGGTGTCCCAACGGTAGAGCCTCCTCTGGATAAAACCAACGTGATGGAAAGAAAGCCCATTAGGGCTGCTAAAAGCATTCAACGATGTCCTGTTCGCTGCACTCTGCCTGGATAGACATTTCGCATCTTAAAGGTGAGGTATAAGAGCAAGTGAAAAGGCAGGCTAGGCAAAAGGAACATGATCGCCATGGCAACCTCAGCCGCTAGGTTTTTAAGTTTTAAAAGATCTATACACTAAATACTGAAACTCCAGGTAGCCACGGCACGTGAACTGCTTCACGATAAGTGGGCGATATAAGCAGCTGGGTTAATTTGAGGCACGAGAACAGATAGGGTGTGTAAGTTAGCAACTGTTCACGGTATTTAGGGGAAAAAAAGGCTGCATACCCCCGAAACAGACGCCCCAATCATACTGTTCCCAGTCTGTTTTAACACCTGCAGATCTGTTACAGTCCTGTACACGTATGAGCTAAGCCTCGTTTCAGCAAGTAAAATTATCTGCAGCATACTGGCATTTTACCAAAAAGATGCAAGAACTGCTGGCAATGATTCAGTGATCTGTAGCTAATTGAATTTCATTCCCTCTCCCCTCCTTCCTCTGCAGACACTTCTACATGTAAACTATAGGACATCATAGAACGCTGAGGCACCACACGATCAGCAGGTGCCCTCTGCAATGGCACCCACCGCTTAACAAAAGCTACCGCAAGCATAGTATATATTCCTACGGCAGAAAGTACGTATTACTCATCTAATAAAAGTGGGCCAATTGCGTTGGCTGACTTTCTTTCGTGAAAGAGAAGGTTTCTGCAAAGGCAGCTCCAAGTATCTTCCTCACCCTTAAATGGACAGATGGCACCTTCATGCCACCTCTGCAGAGTATGGCCCACCGTTTTTAGCTTCCTTCTCGTAAACTGGTATAAACCACCAAATCCAAGATAATCACCCCAAACTAGGATTTTAAATTCACAGTGCACCCCAAATGCCTCTAAGATTTTCGAAAATTGGCCTAGGCAGATACGGTTTTTCTGACTCAACACTGCACCTTCATGGAGGTGCTCGTTCAATGTGCCAAACACTGGGCTCTCTGCCAGCAGAACTGCTGTTTATCTGGAAAACATATGGCCCATGCTCTAGAGAGTTAATGTCAACACTTGAAACAGAAGCATCATCACAGCTTTCCTCTGTTTGCTAACTTATCTGGCAAATAGAACTTCCAAGTGGCATTTATTGACTTGATCAAAAACCCCTCACCGACCGACAGCCAACAAGAATACTCTCAAGGAAGCAAGAGGCCTGTAAGCTAAAACGTGACTTACATTTCATATCGCTGCTGACTTCTTTTTCGGGAACAGCCTTGTCGCTGCTAGGCTCTGTGGGGGTCTCTTCATTGTAATCGTCAACTTTGTAGCTATCGTAATAGTAATCACGATCTTCCACCACGTCGTCGTCCTCCTCTTCGCCTTCGTCATCTTCATCCTCATCTTCTTCCACTGCTGTGCCTGTGAAATCTTCTACACCTGCCTCTGTAGGGAACTCACTGAAGGAATACAGTTCAGTTAGGGGGTACAGTTAAGGCTAATCACTTTGCAGCCACCCTTTGATGAACCAGAACAACGATTCTCTTTTCATCTCTTCTAGAAACACAAGAGGTGGGAAAAATAAATGTATGCATCAGCCCATCGACGGCAGCAACGGGGCTTCCCTCATCACAGACACACCTGCTATCGCAGGCAGAGCTTCTCCATGCCTCTGGCTTCATGGGGTTTCCTTGCATTTTCTCATCAGCTTCTCTCCAGTAAGTGAAAGTCTACCATATTTGGGGGAGGTACCTACTGCAGCAATCAGACTGTCTTTCTGACTGTCTAAGGACAAAGGGAAGGGGGCTGTTCAGCTCCTCCAGTAACAGGAGCACTGCAAAGTCATCTGTCCTCCTGCAAGGCTTTGTCAGGCTCAGGACACTTCTTTGGGAAATTCAAAAGCATACGACATTCTCCTCTCAATCCTCACCGCAAGAGAGTCGCCGTGTGAAATACTCACATACGTAGCTGTTAACATCTACGCCAGTAAGAATCCTACCTTTTATAAAGTTCATAGTCTTCATCCTCGTCTTCATCCTCTTCCTCTTTGGACAGAGCCTCATCCACAACCTTCGTCTGAGGACAACACACATACTCTGTTCCATGGAACTGGTCTATTCCACAGGGCAGCAGCATGCCATAACTGTGCAGGATCATCCCTTCTGTCAGACAGGCCTGAAAGAGGAGCCCGTTTATGTCAGTTTTGCATCATGCTCTTGCTTTGGATAAAGCTCAAGTTTGCCTACTGTAGATCCCAAGAACGCTACCAATGGTCTAAATTTTACAGCAAAAAGACAACAGCAGCATACGACCTAAGTCTGAACATCAAAGGAAAACGGATTTGAAACTCGCGGCTTAAGCAAAATCCCCAGAAAAGTCCCAAATTCAGAGCCACGCAGTGCTTGTCAGTGTTAAGGTATCAAACACTCGCTCCCAGCCCCTAACAACTGCCGATTTGTCAGCCTGGCTAAGTTCAGGAAAAATAACGAGACATTTTGGCCAACTCAAGGGAGAGAGCACTTAAAAGAAACAGAACTGCTGTTTGCTTTTCCGGGCTGGCCATTTCATTAAACTTTATCTATTAAACTTTACACTGGAGTAAGTGAATAATTGCTCAAATGGACTTTGTGTCAACATTATTTTAACATGCTGTAGATGAAAATCAATCAGATAATTCAAGAAAAAGCCAAATGCAAACCGTGATTAGACATTATGTCTATACCCTTCTCTTAAGCTAGGGAAATATATGGCTTTGTGGTGCCCCAGAAAAACATGAAGCAAGAAAGGCTTTATCATGTACATCAGAACCCTTTTGTGCTTTGCTTTGTTACAGTACGGATGAAAAATGAGCCAAATATTTCTGGAAAAGTTCTCCAACGACGTTGAAAGCAAGCGACTTTTAAATTCGCTAGACATTAACAAGCTCATCCTCAATTAAAAGGTGATTCCTCTAGCACAGCTTTATTTAGACAGGTTTTTGCTCCCGGGATTTTAAAGAAATAGAAAATTTAACTGGTGCATCCTTAACCTCGTCTTTACTAACACCATCACAACTAATCACCGTGTTGCTGTTTCTGCAATTGCTGTTTCTACAAAATGGAAAACACGTACATTTTGTCGTGATCTTGTTTTTATTACCCTCAGTTCAAATGGGTGCGCAGAGAATTTGCAACATTTTTGCTAGTCAGATTAAAAAAAACAGGCAAAAACCCATGGGCCAGATTTATTCTGAGAAGATAATCCATCTCTTATGTAAAAGCTCCACTAATCAGTCACAATGAAACTCAGATTGTCCCCAAGCAAGCACTCCCAACCAAATCCCCAGCAGCAGCAGCAGGTACATTAACACAAAATGTGCAAGAAAAATAGGAAACGTCCTATGACCACTGTAGCTCTCTACCCTGGAAAGATGGATGAGCCATTGGTTAAATCAATATCCAAGAGACCCGATTTCGATTCCTAGCTCCATCCTAGAGTACGATCTTGGGCAAGCTACATAGGACAGCTTTTTGAGAGTGAAGGGTAATTCAGCTAGCGACACAGGTTTTTTTAAGTCACTTGAGTAGTTTTAATTTTTTTTTTTTTCATTGCTCTCTGCCACAGTCCATCGATTGCAACGTGGGAATAACAAACCCCAGAGATAAACGCTGGTATGCTCCAACACTACAAGCATCCAAGCGGACACATCCAGAATAAATATTCCTAGCAGCTCAGTAATTACCTCTTTTGCCACAGTGTGCCAGTGCTGATGGCTTTCACACACATCCATCCGCTCCTTGTGGAAGAATCGGCACTTCTCTGGAACCAGCAGGACATCGCTTACAAACTCACCCACTGAAAAACAAGAAACGTCCGTAGTTCACACGCAAGTCCAAATTCTGACAGAAAACAAAGCCAATATCAGAACTCCCCCAAAGTACGCTTTGTTGCAAGTGCCTTAAAGGTTTGGTAAATTCTGAACAGGGACAGGTGAGATCAGCAGCGCTCTCCGCAAATTTACAGAAAAAGAGAGCCTCAGAGTTTCCAAGGTAAAAACAGGAGCAGGGGCTGATCGCTGAAACATTATGCGAACCCTAAGGCTGAACTGAAGGCAAAGTTTACAGTGCAAGACAATAAGTAGTTCCTCACGGAACAGACAGGACTGACTGAAGAGATTTCACGCAAACCTTTGAAAGGATTGCATCTGCATACGGAAGTTTTCAAACCACTTAATCGCCAATTTCTAAACGAGCTGCATCACACCAAAGCTAGTTCATGCTGTCTGGTCCTGTAACAGCCTGGAAATTTTTATATGCCACGACTGTTACCTATGTTTTCAGTATCTGGGTATCTAAGCAAGTCTTCTTTGGTTTGGTTTGGTTTTGTTTCCGGATGATTTAATTCAGGATCAACCGCAGCACATTCCCTGACTCGGGCAGTCCTAACCAAAACACAGAGGGCTAGAAAAATAAAAACTAAACAGCCCAAAAACCAGAGTACAACCAGAGTCAGCAAATACACCGCATTCCAACGTTTAGATAACCACAACCTCACCAGCATGATGAAGTTCTGGCACAATCTTAAAACCAGACTTTTGCTTTTGAGGAAGGCAGGGGAGAGAGAGCAAAATCCGCCTGCTCTACAGACTCTCTATTAGTTGGACTTAAAAGCTACTTAGCCTAAACTTCCACCACGACTCAGTTTGGCACCAACACATGTGAAGTAAGTATCAGAAATATGAGCATTACTTTCTGTTCTTAGCCCAGAAGTCCTAACAACCACTGCCACTGGAATCCAAAACAGGACATTTTCTCAAAGTTGAGATCTTTCTTTCCTGCATATTTAAATGCCACATCCAGTAATTTTAAATTAAGGCGATATCTAGATACTCTGAGAAGACCAGGAAAATATCTTCAGCCCAAGTGTTTCAAAGCCACATACCTCGCACACATGACAAACAGCTTTAGGAATCATTTGTTAAAATTGGAGAAAAGCTTTTTAAGTCAAAGGCCATGTCTCACAGAGTCTCTAGGGAGCAGAATCATTTGTGCAACCAATCTTCAACACTGTCTTTTCAAAATAAATGTTAATATTTTGGGCAACCAATTTTTTTGCGGCCTCTTAGCGCTGATACCAAAGGCTCGTGGACGTTGCTCCTACGCGCTATACACAAAGTAGGTAGAGTTTAGGGACAGATTATCTGATGACAATTGCAAGATAACGAAATCAACTAGCATTCATCATCCCTTCTCAATTAGTCAAAATTTAAACTAATAGACACAACAGAGGAATCATATTTTCCTACCTCAAAACAGGCCAGTTAGAATTGTTCCTCCTTCCCTCTCAGGAGAGGTTTAAATGCTTCTGATAAGAAAGCTAAAAACTGACCAAACTTTAAAATCAAGAGACTGTGGTTCTGGGGACTGAAGGCAGAGACTCAAACTGATCAGATACAACAATCACTAACAAACAGCAGCCATTAAACTGCTGTTTTCAAAACCACCGAATCCCAGCAGCAAAAGACACACGCAAGACTCTCTCAATTCACCTAGGAACTGGAAAACCCTTACAAGCCACACATTAATGGACACCTTCCCCATTCACGGCCACTGCTGTCAAAAAAAGAAAAATGCTCTCCCTTTTCAGCTCAGAGCAGGCATTAAGAGGTGTTTCCATGCCACCTAGCAGCTTAGCCCGAACTGTCAGCAGTTTGTCTTTTCACACCTCACCAGGCTCAGCCCTGCTCCCATCATCCTATTGTTACCTTTATTTTACAGTTCAGTGAGAGTGCTAATGGGTTCTCCTCTTCTCCCCTCTTTACCTTTGAAATACAAAAGAGCTTTCATCGGTGGGGGAGGCAGGAGAAGGTTAAACATGCTAAGACAGCAAGATCCCACCTCAAGGTACTCTGCGCGTTAAAGTGGCAAGGAAGACACAAGCAG